TTTTCTATAGGTCTATCATAATGCGTGCGGTAGAGGGTTTTAATACTCCTCATGAAGTTGGGAAAATATCCAGAGCGTGTAAAGATGTTATCAAAGCAGAGTAAAGGATCTTAAATATAAGACAGTTTTGATTTGATGAAACACAAGTAACAAACAATGATTCAGAAAGGCCATTAGGATCCATCAGTTCTTTACCTTATCCACGTCCTGTTATTCCTCTCAGTGCATTTAACTTAACTGCTCTACAGTGCCACTAATCTGCCTCTTATTATCTAATTAGTATAACACAGGCAAAGAGACAACACCTCGATCCCTTACATCACACATTGCCACCAGGAAGGACTCACTGATCAAAGGCAACACCAGGGAAGGCATATTTTGATAAAAAGCTTAAATGCCTTTTAAACATTCCCAAATCCAAAGATAACACGTTTCAGAGAAGCACATGTTTGCTTTTGCTCGAGTGGAGTTATTGCTCATTTAAGTGTTTTGCTGTTGGTAGGTGGTTGCGTGGGGGCGTGGAGATCAGAAAAGATTCATGAGAGCACCTAATTGAGCATAGACGGGGCACCAGCTTGTACGTTTAGACGCAGGCAGGAGCCCAGGCAAAAAGTTCAACAAACCACTCGCAATGCCAGGGCCTCGCATTAGAAAAACCAACGATCACACGACTCAGGGAAGGCACAAACAAAAATGTTACGCTTGGCAAAACGGACAGGGATGAGGCTTTCAAGAGCACAGCTGCAACATGAGCGTCCCTTCATGTTTAACCGCCGCTCGGAGGAAATCTGTAGCTTCTAGGTACATCAAAAGGAGAAACTTAACCGCTATTGTCTCCTATAGTACATGGGACACGGTTATAGTATCTCAGTAGAAAAGAAGCGCTCATCTTTGAACACCGCGTTTTAACGCACCTTGAAAGGGAGTGTAAGTTGATCCCTTTGCACTCTTTGGAAATGCAATCCAACACTGCTGATTCTTTCAGGCTTAGTGTCACACATCACACACACAGCCAGCATAACGCCGTCTCTCACCTGCCTGCCAACTCTGTTGTTATGAAGTCTCATCCTGGAGTGAATGTCTCTGTATGTCTCACGGGAGTCCAGGAACTCCTTGGAGAAGCGTTCCCCAAACTCCACGTTTGGACTGCAGCCACCCCATTCCCAGGAGTCCTGGGGGCCGAGAGTGTCGGCGGGAAAGTGTTCCATCACGCCGTGCACCATGCCTTTACCCCGGTTGATGGCCTCCAGCTGGAGACGGTTGAGTTTGATCCTGAATGCCTCCTCGTCCCCTCGGCGTTTCTCGTCGCAGCCGCAGGCCTTCAGCTTGCCCATGGCGCAAGCGTTGGACACGGCGTGCACCACACCGGCTGCTGCGATGGCATATGCAAACGCGCTTTCTCTGAAACCTGCCAAAGAGACAATACAAGAGATTATTCAGGCAAGCCTTGCTCAAACGTTGTCTATCCACTGCCCACTTTGCCCCTGGAATTGCTCTCTCTGTGCTTTGTGGAAAAGAATGCTATCGTATTTGAGGAGAAACCGCATGAGCCCTGATGTTTGACAGCAGTACCAGTATATTCCTTCAAACAACAAGCGGCAGAAAGAACTCACAAGACAAAGCTAGTGAATGCTGCACTGCTTTTAAGCATCCAAAGCATGCACAATCTGGAACAATGGAGAAGGTGTGGAGGGCTCTGGTTAGCGTGGCTAAGCACAGACATGCACATCTGTGCACAGGCTCTACGCTGAGCTCAAAAACGTGGCTGCAATTAACCTGGCTACCGTTAGCGGCCGTTTGATCTGCACTAATCACATGCCGCTCATCTGGATTTCAGCTCTCATCCGTTGCGCTCTGTATTGGACCTGAAGTGCGGCAGACTTTAAGGCTTTCCGACAAGATTTAAGAAATTCCTCAGCAAATACGTTTGAACACATGAGAGCCACTTGTAGCAGTAGCAAGTTATGTTGTTGTTCTCGTATAAGAATATTTAATTACAGTGTTTTTTTCTCTCCAGGGTTTCCACATTGAAGAAGGTGCCTGCATGTGCTATAGGCTTGTTGAAAACTAATGGTCTCAAACAATAATAAATGGAGGTCTCATAAAAGCAGACTCTCCTGAATCACTTTCGGGGCAGATGGGGAATTAAAGAAGGCCATGCTCAGGAACTTGAAAGAGCCCATAAAGGCTAAATAGTTTAGAGTTCCTTCTGCTTGCTAAAATCAAAGGGCAGTTCTTCAGCATAAAAATACCCTCTTAAGTACACATATAAAATTCCTGTTTTTGCCGTTAAATCATGAAAAAACAACATTATAAAAAAAAGGATAAAAAATGAAAGCCTATGAAATTACTATCTTGCCATTTAAATAATCAAAAATCTGAAAGCATATGAATCTCTCTCGATAGATAGATAGATAGATAGATAGATAGATTCCTAATTCGTCATTTAAATGATCAAAAAAGGATAAAAGGTTAATGCCAAATATCCATTCAATTTATTTACATAATATGTATGTACACACATAACGAAAGTCTATTAATTTTGCATCTTTCGTATAACATTTCTGATGTTTAAATCATCAAAAGAAAAAAGAATGGTTTGGTTAATGTCAAAGATCTGAAAGAAACTATAAAAATATGAAAGCTTATTACTTCTGCATCACTGACTGTCTACATTCATATGAATTAGTGTGACCACTAATGTTGGTTTATTATAAATGATCATTGAAGAGAAACAGAAAAACAGAAGTTTTAAACTGGCCATGACCCCATGTCTACAGCTTAAAAAGCATGTTTAATGCTTGTCTTATTAAGCCTGTGAACGCAGCCTCGCCTCACCTCACCTCACCTCTGTGTCCTGTTTTGTCCATCTCTGGTGATTACAAATGACTAATGAGCCTTTAAGACTTAAATCAGGTGTGAAGCAGTCTGGAGAATTCCAGTGTCTGGAATTCACTGTGTTTTACAAAAATGCTTGCTGATGGCAGAGCTGCCCTTGGGGCTCGGATCAAAGATCTGAGATAGCTGAATGATGTTCAATTGATCATTTCAAAACACACAGAAACTCACACCTATTAACTCACCCACCCACAGTGACATATACACTCACGCAGAGGAACCCTGCATGCTGAAATACACACACGTGCACAAACACGACACCAGCCGATGCTGCTTTTTTTCCGTGCAATCCTCTCATGATTCTATGGGGGGCAAACGGCACTTAGGCGCAGCCAGAACACACAGACATGGAAATGCTGTTTTAGATTTCCTTCCAAGCCAATGAAAGACCTGGAACAAATCAATCTAACAAATAATTTAAAGTGAGAGGCACGCCCGGCTGCGCTGATGGTGGAGAAAGTGGGAAAATGAATTAAAGATTGAAGGAAACTGTCACTTTGGGTTACGGAAACGAACTAAACAGGTTTATGCTTTTGCCAATGAGGGTTGGGAAAATGCTGAAAGCAAATTCACAGCACTTGCACTGGCACAGAGTAAAATGAATTAGCTGGCCAGGGAAGCCCTCTTGCAGGATATTTACATCCACTCTTTAAGTGATATATGCCTATGGCTGATAAAGCTTTCCTACTATCAAACATTTATGTGTGTCTGCAATATACAAACTTCAAGGATTTATTCATCAATATGGATCAATTTCCAGCTAACCAAACCAATTTACATGTAGCCTAGTTTGTTAATAGAGTACATATACCAACTTTAATTTAAAATTCAGTTTTTGTACTTCTACACACCAACCCCAAGATAAGCACAGACCAAACCAGATTTTCCCAAAGTGCTCACAAACTAAAAAAGTCACTATTTCGACATGGGTTCATTAGGTTCATTTTGTTTCTTACCCCTGCTGAAGACAACACTCTCATAGGGGATCTTGTTCCTGGTTTCCAGACTTGAGCAGTTCCAGCGGTGTCCTCTGAACTGATGCTGGCACTCATGGATGGCAATCTGGATGCCCTGTATGGCTGAGGCTGTCACATCTGGATGCCTCATACATACATCCAGCTGTTTCTTTGTCAGGCCGGGCAGGGTCAAACACACCGTGTTGGCATTGAGAATGGGGTCAAAGGGGATCTTTAGTCCCAGGATCTCGTTAGAGTCTGCCCTAGAAGAGAGAATGAAACCTTATCAAGTATCCAAATACATCTGCACGAAAAAAGGTAATAAATAAAGAGGTAATAAATAATAAATACCCTGTGTTCTTTTGCATTGTGTAAGTGTTTATAATATACAAAGGATCCTTTATTACTAGGTCATACAAAACTGCTGTTGCCAAAAGTGACAAAAGTACCACTGAGGAGCCTAATGCGCATGACTATTACAAAATACACCATGCGCTGGTAATAGATACCATAAACGTGCAGAAAATATGGCATCAAAAAGGGTTTACTTGACAAATAGCAGATGCAAAGCTCCTTCCATAACAGCACATATAAGAAAATGTATGTGAAACTATATAAGAGCAACTACAAACTTACCTCGGTGTATAAACTACGGAATTGCAAACTAAAAAAAACTAACATAAGTAATAAACTGCAAACAAACTATAAGGGGATTCACTGATATTACATGAAACTCTTAGCACTTTATGACACTTACAATACAATACTTTAGTTACATTACAAAAGAGTGAAAACTTCTAAAGATGTAAATCCAAAAACGGATGTACAAAACTTTAAAAACTTCTTTTGTTGTTTTTGAAAGGTTTATGATGCATCTAAGTACAGAATATCATGGCAGTTCATTTAGTGTACGTTTGTGAGCAAATGTGTGCAGTAAATATTCACGTGCAGAAACGAATGCAATCGTTTAAATGTGACACGAAACAACTGAGCAAGTTCTTACCTTTGAACTAGAAGCGACGCCAAAGCCAAAGAACAGAAGAGTCGAAATAAAAAGTAATCCATGCTGCTGCTGGTGCTCTTCTGCAAAACTCTTTCACAACTCTTCTGCTCGAGGAGAAGATCCGTCCAATACGTGCTCAGCTTTCCAGCGATCAGCTTCAGATCGTCCAAATCTGACGAAAAATAAAATGATGCTGGAGAGTGCCAGGCGATGTCGTGATACCTCATTCATGAAATCACTTTACAACTTTTCTGCTGAAGCTATCAGTTTGAGCTTTCAGAATGAATGAAAATGTGAGCCGACGCTGAGGATCCGCTGAGATATCATCTGACACAAGACACTCATGTACACATCAGTACTCAGACTGAGCTATCTACTGTTTTCAGGACTTCTGATGTTTGCCTTATCTTGATGGCACTCAGACTACACTTAACTCTCTGCCAGCCCACCTCTACGTCAGCGCACACACTCGCACACACAGCAGACTGCCGTACAGGACAAGTGCCTCATTAGACAAATCCCGATCGAACCGATAAACAGGGAAGTTACGACTCATTGGGATGTGAGGGATTGTTCGAGGACAGATAGAGAATGATATAATCTAATGAGGTACTTTCATGCTATGAAAATGGATAAAAATGAATGTTGAAGAATTTGATTGAGATACACGACAAGAGAGAGGCAAAACATATCAGATAAGCATATATCTATAATTCAGTTCTTAAATTATCTCGAGTCAAAAAATACATTTTCATAAATGTTTTTCTTTAGCAGTGTTTTTTTATGTTTTGGTAAAAAAAAGAAGAAGCTTTGAACCCCACCTATGTTAAAATAAATAAATAAACAAATAAATTAAAATAAATAAATAAATAAGTAAATTTTAATGTTTAAAAAAAAAATCTGATTTCTGTCCTCCAAAATAAAATGTAATAATCACATTTTTTTTTCTTTCTACAATTGTAAGTGAAAACAATAACTGGCTAAATAAGGGTATGTTTCATAAATATCAAATTGGTGCAAGTTGTCACAAGTGTTTTAAATGTTATACATTTATAAGTATTCATTACAATATTCACTTTACATTTTTGTATACCTTTTAATTTTATTGTGCCCTTTTATGAATGGGGTTGTGTTCCACAACTGTTTAAATGTTTTGAAATTTTGCCATATATGGCACTATTGGGGCATGTTGTCACAAAAGGTCAACGTGTTTAGTGAATTATATATTTTATTCTTTTCTATTACATAATGAAAAATTCTTAACATTTTTCCAAATATGTATTGTCCTATAGTAATTTCACAGAGAATAGTATCTTAATAATTGAAAATACAATGTTTGTCTAATTTAATTAAACTTACTGTCTATTTTTAATTTCTTTCTTGGTCTTTATGTTACCTGGAAACGCAATTATGGACACTGAATTTATAGTAAACCCATGACAAATGCAAAATACAACCACATCTTACATGCTGAGAAAGGAGCCAAAAGCCCATTAAAGCTGAAACCTTCCCACAGCTTTTGTAATGTTTAAATTCCATATGCTCCTTTGTAATTCTTCATTTCAAGACTTAAATGAAGAGTGTGTGCATAGTGGTATCAATAAAGCGAACCACAAAAAGTTATTTCAATGTGGCAGGGAGGTTTTAGTCACAGTGAAGTCACAAGGAGGGAGTCGGTACGGTTTAAAACTTCAGTTTTGAATGAGGGTGAGGGCCCCGCTGACTTGATCAGAATTATCGAATGAATTGATAATGATCTCTGTCTTCAATTAGGCACCATCACAGCTTAGTTTTTTATTGCTAGTTCATGACAAGTTAAAAACATTACAACGGACACATTCCCACTCGAATGGTTACCAGTAAGATGTCGCAACGTCCAGAAAAACAAAACCCTGCTTCCATCTGGTGTGGATCCTTGCCAAGAGATCTGCGGTCAAGAATTTAACACATGCTGATTTTAATTGTGTCCTAGTGTCAGCTGGGGAACCCCTTTCTCTATGATCTATTTAATTGTAAACCATTAAGATAATTTAGTAATGACATTTATCCATGGCTGAACAACACATCTTCTGATCATGAGTTAAATGGCTGAGAAAGACATAATTTAGTAAAAGGCAAAATCATTACAGCAATTTTACATTGATTAATCACATAATGATTACTGTCTTGTAATGTAATGACTCATATGAGCAAAAACAGTTTTATTCATTGATTGTAGTGATTATCAGAAGAGCCCCAAGGCAAAAGATAATGCTGAATTGGAATTTCCCACGATAAAGAGGTGTGCTGCGAGTAGCGTGCACTTTTCCTTGCTGAAATGGCATTGTAGATGGTAATAGCTCTTGTCCTTGTCCAAATGGTCCCACCAGGGGCATATGAATTATTCACAGTCTGTTAGGTTTCAGAAGTTCTCCAAGAAAGTCTTCACGAACACAGAGACATGAAAATGGCACAAAAATGTAGGAAGAAACAAATTTTTTTTTTTTAAATCTTAGATATGGAACTTATTTTTGAGTGTCCATCCGTAAGAACGCCTTATAAAGTTAAAAAACAAACAAACAAACTGTTTTTAATTTATTCAAGATTTATTTACCTAATTATGCTCATTTTAAGGAGGCTAAACAATTCCCAGTCTTCCTTAAATAAGCATTTCCTCCTTTCATGAGTGGGCAAAATGAAAGTGGGGATTAATAAAGTACCTATCCTATCCTATCCTATCCTATCCTAAAAGATGTGACGCTAACAGAGAAACAAAACAGAGGGTAAACAGATCAACACTGCAATTACTGGGGCTCCTGCAGGACGTCTCACTAAGAAGGTTATTAAAAGAATCAGAAAGTTCAACCCCCTGCTGTGGAGCAATGACACATCTGTGGAGAAATGAGTTCTTGCAGGGAAACCTTTCCTATTTTTCAGGGGAGAATAAAGATGAGTACTAAGCTTTTGTTTTTCCCACAGGAATATTTGTCTCTTTTTTGTTGTTAAAGCCATTAGAGCATGATGGGAAAATGACTTTTTGATTGGCCTAATGGTGTAGGTATTGGCTCCTAAGACACAGAAAGTGAGGACACTCAAAGAATAGAGGAAAATAAGCACTGTGCGGTACAGCGCAGCATGCGCAGCTCCCAAGAGCCGTTGCCCTCTGATCTGCTTGTTGATATGTGGAGATGGGGATGGTTGTAATCAGTTAAATGTTCATTGTGTTGGAGCAAAACATTTGGGGGATTAGAGAAGTTTTGTTATTGACTGTCTTAGCAACCCAAACAAAGAGTGTCTTGTGCTGTTTAAGAGATGTCTTAAATTGGCCGCAAAAGATCTTTATAGGCCATGGAATGATGCGGTCTGTTTTGATCATAGTCACATCGTTTGTAAAATTGTTCGCTGCAGTGTGGTATTAGCGGTTTTTTATAACATCTACAAGTTGTTGGACTTAATAACATGCAAACTCACTTTGAAAACAGCACAACAGAAAGTTTTCTCTTTGATGGAAACCTGCAGTTAATTTAGACACTTAAATATTCTTTTCAGCAGCGGAACATAATTCCTTAAAAAAATGAACATTTCTATCAACAACTGCAGATGTTGTGTCGATAAATATGTAGATACAATTTTATTGTTGCTGATGGATCAAATATTTATTTTAATGGATAAATGCATTTTTGAACATTTGTGTTCTGTATTTAATCACAATGAACTACGCCACAATGTACGACTGCACTAGTAATTAATGCCTGAACATGGCAAACTGGCAGTTAGGACATGGTATCTGAAGCTCCCCCTGCTGGCCCTACTTCTCCTATTGAATTAAAGGAGATGTTCGGTTTGTGTAGCCTATCACAAAACATTTCCACTGGTGCCGATATTCAGAGATTCCTGCCGTCAGGTACTTGGCCAGCTGCTGAGTTGGCTAAGCCATTGTTATTGAAAAACAGCAGAGCGTTGCTTGTTTTCTTTACCGCTTGGGTTACTGCTCGCTATCACTAATTGAGCAGAATTACACCCGCTTGCTTGCTTTTCTTGGTACTGTGAAAATGTTTGGGTTACTGCAGCAGATGATATGACTATAAAGGTGTATGTGAAGCAGGAGAAGGTATTAGAGATAAGAAAGTCATTCGCCGTTTGACAGAAATATGCTCGGATGGATGGCAGTGTACCACAATTTAGTATAGCATACAGAAAAACTGCCATTGTTGGAAGTACAGTAGGGTAAAAAATTGATACCACCAGTGAAAATGCTTCTAGTTTGCATTTTTTCATTTAATATGTACAGTAGGGAGACCGGGGAGTGTTGTAACATGGGGTTAGTTGTAACACTGTCAGTTTGACCAATCAGAAACAACCTATGGTGATGTCATCCATATCATACACTCCCATCTCCATTTTGAGCTAACAGGAGAAGTGGCATGTGTCTGTGAGCAAGATTGTGAATTTTATCACCAAAAAAGTGATTTTCAGGTAAGAAAGTAATTTTTTTTATCAAAATTATTTTTTGCCTAGCATTCATTGTAATGTAGATAAAATTTTTGGACTTACATAATCTTAAGTAGCAATTT